TTTGTTGTTACTCAATTAACAGCACCAGAACACACCATTTTTGACACTGCTCAGCACTGCTGACTTGCTAGCATACTTGCTTTTTGAAAACTTTTTTGCTCAAACAAAACCAAACGTACTAACGACAATCAAAAAGACAATGGAAGAGCCGCAAGTTTCAACACGTTCAAATTTTCAGGTTTGCTAAAGTTTATGCTTTGTTTTGTTTTATTTATTTCTTATTAGCAGAATAATATTATCGATATTGCTTTTATTTACTAAAGTTTTTCAAAAGGCACAAATACATTATTTAACCATTAACACTTACAAGTGTCATTTATCAAATAATATAAAACAAAATTTTCTAATGTTAAAACATGTTTTGTTTGCTATCAATCAAATGTTGTTTCGTATTTTAAAATCATTTAAATTCCTGTCGTTTAGCGTTTTTCCGTTTTTGACAAAAATGTAGCAAATCATGTGCTTTCAACTACTTTTGATCGCCGTTGCACTGTCACAACTTTGATAGATAATATTTACCAACAACACAGCAGTAATGTTTTTTTAGTAAAACACCTACATTGTAAGAAAAGTGACCGAGTATATTAAATTTAGGCTTGAATGATTGAGAAACCTAAAACTTTTTTTCCCTGTGTAATGCAGTGCAGTTCTGACTGATCATATTACTGCAAAAAACGGCACCTACAAATAGCGCTAAAAACGTCGTCTTAATTTCATTTTTTATACAATTACCAGCAGCATTAAGTTAAATATACAACAACAAATATGTATATTGTCTAAAATATGCTTGTTTTTAAAGATTGTTAAATTAATTGCTTTTATTTGTGTTGTTTTAAACTAAATATAATGAAGGCGTTACACAAAACACAAAAACATGTTTCTATTTTTGATGTCAGTTTTCACTGTTATACTTTATTTTGCCGCTGTTTTTGCTGCCGTTTCTCTTGCTGCAGTTTTGTTTTTTGCTACTTCATTGCTTAAGTAACAAAAAATGTAATAAAAATGTCGACAAACAGAGTAACTAGGTGAACTATAAAAATAAAACAGCAAAGTAGCAAAACAGTGTGCCGGTGCACATCACGATCTGTCCAAATGAATGAGAGTGATGGAAAAGTAAGGGGTAAATGGAAAACAGTTATGTCTGCCTGAATTACATTTGAGTTAGTAAAACTGTTAGTGCTGCTGCGACTGTCGCTACCATCCTGGTTACTATCACTGGTAAAATGCACTCACTAATGGCAATTTGATTAGCACGCAGGACACTACTGCTCAGTTCTACATTTTCATTTGGTTTCATCCCGGTTTTTAAATAAAATGGACCACTTTGCACTTGCTGTCACGCTAAGTTGGCAACGGATAAAAAAGGTTATTTTGTTTGAATGGTGCTAATGCAATGTCAACTTTTTAAATAAAAAATAGTAAAGCATACTTTTGGTTTTTTCGGTCCGTTTATTTAATGTGCGTTGACAGTTTTTCATACATTTTTTCAGTACTAGTAAAAATGGGAAAATGTTAGTCTAAATTTATAAAAGGTTTACTCAGAGATTAATTGTTAATCACCAGTTAAATACTTTATCAGCCCATTAATGGTTTGCCCAAATCTGATTACGTTAACAGTAGATGGAGTAAGCTTCTTTACAGCAAAAAAAGCTTTTTTGTTTGTTTGTTGTTACGTTTTCTGTTTGACAACCGTTTTTAAGTTATTTTTCTTGTTAATAGGCAACGCCAGTAATTAGAAAAAAGTTTTTATTAATAAATTATTGCTTTAGCTTACAAACATTAAACATTAAAATATTTTAAAAAATTGCAAATAAACTAAGTTTTTGAATAAACAAAATAAACTTTTTTAACATTTTTAATAAAATTCACCTACTTTTAATTATCAACTAAAAATATAACGTAATTACGTTTGCAAAAAAGCATATAAAGGTGAGTCAGCAATAAAACAATAAATCAATACTAAATTTAATTAATTAGCACCCTGTTTGTTATTTTGTGTATTTATTGCTTTTTGTTTTTAATAAAATAGTTATAATTTGTTTAGATTTGTGACACAATAATATCCATTTAAATTGTTGTTTGTGTTTTTAAAATAGTTTTTAAAATGAAATTTTAAACGCATTTTTTTGTTGTGTTTTAAATATTTTCGATTATATTATGTTTTTAATCTAACAATGAATAACTGGAAGAAAAAGTGGATTCGATTTAAAAAGTTAACACGTTATTTTTTGTTTAAACGAAAGTTTGGTCAGTCAAACAGTCAAGTGCAATTTAGACGATTGCCTAGTGAATCTAAAGAAATAACCTTTTTAATGCAGGTACAATTGTTGAGTTGTTTAAAATGATAAAATGCAAAAATGAATTTTAAAAAATTGTTTTTATTTTTATTTTTATTACTCACACAAAATCTAAAATTTTGTTTATAAGTTTAAACACTCTTTTTAATGATTTTAAATATTTAGTTTTTATGTTAACTTAAGTATTTTTGTTTAGTTTAATATTATTTTTTAAAAAAACTTGCAAAAAACACAATTTAGTTTTAAGTAAAAATTTCTGAATTGACAATAACTAATTTTTTAATTTAATCATTTTTAAAATTTATAAACTTTAATTTTAGACTAGTTTTAGCAGGTTTTTATGTTTTTAAAATATTTTTTTGTTTAATTTTGTTTGCCAATTTGCACTTGATGTTTTTGTTTTTAAATAAAACACAAACATTTTAGCACCGGCCACCGGACATGCACCATATACATGCATTTTTATTCGCCATTTTGCCCCCATTCATTTTTCATTCTGTTTCAATTTTTTTCGTTTCTATTTTTTTTGTGTCTGTTTAACGGTGAATATATTTATTTATTGTGTTTATTTATATCTCTGACAAAACTGAAAGACAATTTCATTACGGCTGTGTCTGAGTAGCAAAGTGTTTCCCTGGGGGTACCACCAGTTTTACACTGGACTCACACAGCTATTTGGTGCTTGTTGAGACCACTTTTTGCTTTGTGTTTTTATTTCAAACCAAATTTAGTTAGTTAGATTTTGCTGGCGGCAGTGTCTAATTTTGGCCGGTTCTGCCGTTTCACACAAACGTAAATGCACCTATAAGCTATCTTGTCATGTATTTTCCGATCATTTCCTCGGATTAGCAAGCAGATTGGACTTTGTGAAAGTTTGTATCTCACGCGTTAATGTGTGTACTTCATTCTATCTTTCCCTCTCTCTTTTTTTCTCATTCCTTTTGAGCTTCTGTTCATTTCCGCTGTCGGCTTTGTCAGTCAGTCAAGCGCCGTCAGTCGGCGACCACACTGTCTGGCGACAGTGGCGACGCAAATGCCGTATTCTTTGTGAGTGTGTGTGTTTTTTTGCAGCGCAAGTTCTTTCTCTTTCTCTCTCTCTCTCTCTCTCTCTCTCTCTCTCTCTCACACACTTGTCGTCCTTTGGTTGATCATTCCCAAGAACAGCATCAGCAGTAGCATCAGCATCCCCTAAACAGCTCGAGCCAGTGTTGATGAAAACGGCGTGTGATTAACTGAGCTCATCATCAACGACCAGCTGCTGATCGACTAGACCGGACTGACTGACATTGCCATCACCAGCTACTACCTCATCATTTGCAGCTGCAGCAGCAACAGCATCACATTTTCATCAAACGGGCAATAATTGCTCTTTTCTTCATGTTAGCTTTCTCTCATCTGTTTGTCTATTAGAACATTGCACTTCTTCATTAGCAATCAACCGCTAACCATGCCGCACCAGATGGTTTAAAAGGAAAAGGCCAAACAGCAAACATGGCCACACTTCCTTAAACACACACACAAGCTGACTTCTTTAGAGAATCATTGCATTTGCACGGCCACACGAGGCGCAATTCTCTTTCCTCCTCTTTTTAGGCATTCCCTAATCACATGCCATTTTTCGTTCCGAGAAAGCATCGTTTAGAGCCAAAGGGAGGCAATGTAATTTGCGATCTATATCTTTTTCCTCTCTTCTCTCTTTCCCTTCTTCTTTTTCATCAATTCAAAAAAGCCATAACCATAATCAGCAACGCCATCACTGCTAAACACTTTTGAACATCTGAGCACCAATCAGTGAGAGAATTAGTAAGTGTGTGAGAGTGTTTGTGCATGCAAAGAAATCAAAAAGTGACTTCATGTGTTGAGTTGAGTGCCGCCGCCGCCGCTGTTGCTGCTGCTGCTGCAGCTGATACTGCTGTTGCAGCAACACTTTGTGGTGTTCCAACTGCTTGTAAGAATATTCAGCCTGCGTGTGTGTGTGTGTGTAATGCTTTCTTAGTGTTTGTGTGCGCCTTGGAGTGTGTGTGTAATGTGTTTGCAAAACACATCATCGTCGTCGTTCAGTCGTTGTCTGAGCGGCTTACCGTTCAGACGGACATACTTTTTCACATTTTGATATTTTATCTTGACACATAGATATTCTTTGAAAACTTGACTTTAACTTTCTCTTCTTTCACATGTTACCTTCCCTAGGTTCAGCAGTCCTCTGAAGAGGAGACTGGCACCACCTTCAAGGAACGTCATCGTCGCAGAATGAGCCTGCCAGTGTCGGGTCGTGCGGCCGGACCGGCGGCATCGCTGCTGGGCGAGTCGCCATTGCTGGCCGCGGCTGCCGCTGCCGCCGCCGCCTCTTCAGGCAGCGGCGGCGGAACTGCCTCATCTCCAACAACGAACGCCGGAATTGCTGCTGGCATTGGAAAGCTGACCCTGGGCAAACCTGAATCAGGGGGCGGCGGCGGCAAGTCGCCCTCTCGATCTCCGCAGCGAACCATCAAGGAGGAGAAGGAGAATGGAGAGAAAAGTTCAGGGAAGGCGACCACTGCTGGCAAAGCCTCCTCCTCATCGTCGACCACCACCACCACTGGAGACAAAGAAAATGCTGAGGAGAATGCTGTTGCCGGAAAGGGCGCCAACACCGCTGGTTCGGGCGGTGGACAGGGTCGAGAGCGTCGAGGCTCCTACTCATCGGCCTCAGAGCACTCTTCCTCCTACACTGGCTCCAGCTCAGAGGACGAGGACGACGAGTGCTACCGAAAGTCGCCCCGACTGACTGCCCAGCGAGCCGCCAAGGGCTTCACCGACTTTGCCGTACGGGACATCAAACTGGCGGAGTACGGCCGCAGGGAAATTGAGTACGCCGAACAAGGTTTGTACAGAGGAAAACCGTGTAAAGTCGGCAAAAACTGTGTGCTGAAACTTGCTTATCTCTCTTTCTATATTCTGCTCTGCTCTGCTCTACTTTGCTCTTGTTTGTTCAATTTCTGCTGGCATGTGTTGGACTGGCCTCTCTATTCATCAACCTTTTCCCCCTTTTATACTCTGTTTTGACATATTATTATTGTATTTAAACACATTAGTACTTTCCTCTTCTTCCACTTCAGGCATGGCGGGCATTATGTCACTGCGCAATACGGCAAAGAGCGATCAACCGCTGAGGGGGTAGGTTGAAGTTAATGTTTTTTGTTTTGTGTCTCATTTTTAACTTTTCACTACCTATTTTGTCAGTGCCCGAATCATCGGCTGCACTCACATCAACGCCCAGACGGCCGTGCTGATCGAGACGCTGATGGCGCTGGGCGCCCACGTCCGCTGGGCCACCTGCAACATCTACTCGACGCAGAACACTGTGGCCGCTGCGTTGGCCAACGTCGGTGTGCCCATCTTTGCCTGGAATCGCCAGTCTGAGGAGGACTTCTGGTGGTGCATTGATCGCTGCCTCCTCGCCGACAACTGGCAGCCCAATATGGTTAGTATCACCTCTTTTTTGTTTAAAGTATTTTAATGATTTATTATTAACTACAAACTTTTCACTAGATTCTCGACGACGGCGGTGATGCTACTCACTTAATGCTAAAGAAGTACCCGGTCGCCTTTAAAATGCTGAAAGGCATCGTTGAGGAGAGCCTGACCGGCGTCCATCGACTTTATCAGCTGTCCAAGAACGGAAAGTTGACTGTACCGGCAATTAACGTCAACGATTCCGTCATCAAGACCAAGTTTGACAATTTGTACAGTCCACGAGAAACCATTCTTGATGTGTGAGTGTGACTGAACCAAAAACCTTAACTTTAATTAATTTGTAAACTTGTCATACAATTTGTTAGGTTAAAACGCACCTGCGACATTCTGCTTGGCGGTCATTACGCTCTAATTTGTGGCTACGGAGAGGTGGGAAAGGGCTGCGCGTCGGCACTGAAAGGCGTCGGAACCATCGTCTACATTGCCGAAATTGATCCCATCTGCGCAATTCAAGCATGGTAAAACTGCTCAAACCAAATGCAACTCCTTTTATTAACTTTTTGTTCAATTCGCTCAGCATGGACGGCTTTCGAGTGGTCACTGTGGAGGACGTCATTGAGAAGGTGGACATTGTCATCACTGCTACTGGCAACAAAAACGTCATCCGTCGGTCGCACATGAACGTCATGAAGAATGCCGCCGTCCTCTGCAACATGGGACATTCCAACACTGAGATTGACGTCGTATGTTTAGAGTTTCAATAGCAAACTACTTTTTGATTACTTATTAATTTGCTTTGTTTGTTTTTGCGCTTTACAGAACAGCCTGCGCACTGAGGACCTCGAGTGGGAGAAGGTGCGCTCTCAGGTGGACCACATCATCTGGCCGGACAAGAAACGACTGGTGCTGCTCAGTGAGGGCCGCATTGTCAATCTGGCCTGCTCGCACATACCCTCATTTGTGGCGTCCATCACCTCGGCCACGCAGATTATGGCTCTCATTGAGCTGTTCAATGCGCCGCAAGGGCGCTACAAATCAGATGTGTACCTGTTGCCAAAGAAGATGGGTAAGTGATGAGGTAGACAGGCTCAAATGGAAACATCTTTTTTAAATGCTCTACTATTGAACTTTCAGACGAGTACGTTGCAACGCTCCATTTGCCCTGCTTTGATGCCAAGCTTACTGTGCTAAATGAAGAACAGGAGAAGTACATGGGCCTTAGCAAGGCTGGTCCCTTCAAGCCCAACTATTACCGGTAGGTATTAGTGCTGTTTCCATGCTTTTATCAAGTTTTTAATCTTGATAACTCAACTAACAAAACACTTATTTGTTGTTCTATTTTAAACTAGATACTAATTTAAATTTAAACAAAATATGAATTTTGAAAATACTACCAAAACAAGTACCAACAAATCATCAGACAACAAAACACTAGCACTAAAAACTTACTTTTTTTATTTAAAATTTACTTGTACTTTTTTGTCATTCTATTTGTATTGTTTTAGTTTAACCACTTTTTGTTTTATTTTTACTAACTTTATTTGCCATTTCATAACTAGAAACGTACAAGGATTACTAATATTTTTATTGTAATTGTTTTAATTTAAATTTACTAAAAGTCATTTTACTCAGTACCAACATCAGTTACAATGAACACATCAACTTAAACCCACACAAAAGATCTCACAAACTTAAACAGCTGTCAAGTTGTTGAACTCAGATTTCCAACCATTGTTGATTTTCATTTTTTCATTATGCCCCTTACATTGCTTAATACTAATATCTCATTTATTCAATTTTAAACATTCAATTGACAAATTAGTTTAAATAGTAAAATTCCCCTAAAATACTTTTTTTAATAAGTTTTTATTTAAAACTTCAATTTAAAATTGTTTTTAATTTATTATATTGTTAGTTTCTTTTTATCACGCAACTTCACATAACTTTATTGTTAGAAAACATTTAAATTGTTTCCGTTTTGCATTATTTTTTCAAAACAGCCACAATATGATCTTCAATGTTTAACCAAATAATTATTTATAGCAATTACTCAATAAATTTTTCAAAAAAAATTTAAATTATGTATAAAATCTTTGAATTTGTATTGATTTTATAAAACGTTATTAAAACGATAAAAATAATTTATTATAAATTAAAAAAATAAACTAAAATTATTCTTTAGATGTTTCTTGAGTGACTAATAGGTGACGTTGCTAACTTTTTTTAAGATGGTTTTTTGTATTTAAATATGAACAAAATTCAATTTACGTAAAGGTTGCAAACACATACACAAAAATTTTTATCATTAATTAAGTACTTTGTTTTAATATCATTAATGAAGTAACAACTGAATTGTACTTTTGCCCAATTTTCAGTCGATTATTACATTGATCGGTTAAACTGAATTTTTTGTACATTGTTGCAAAGTTGGCAATAAACAGTTCGTTTGTGCTTGTGTGTTCATAAACTCAATTGGTACTTTCCTGTTTTATTAAATGCATTCCAAGAAGTACAACAAAAACAAAAAAAGAATGGTAGAATTTGCTGAGAACCACTATTCACAAAATTGTGCATCGATCGCATGTTGTCGGCGCTTTTAAATCGGTTAAAAAAGTTGACACATTTATTCAGTTTTTGCATTTTTTTGCAAACTTATTAAATATGCAAATGTTAAAAAATTATTCTAAATGTAGCATCACCTGAGGCAACAAACTGTAACTGAATGTTTTGTTTGCTTAAGTAAAACAGCAATAGTTAAAAAAGTCGAACAAAATAAAAAACAAAAAATTTTTTGATTAAAAAACTTGTCTAACATGACTGACGCACTTTCAGTCATATTTAGTTGTTGGTTGTGTTAGTGTAGTAAACCCAATAACTGACTGCAACAGACTTAAAGTGTTTTGCCTGATGACGTAAATAAAAATTACCAGAAAAGAAAGCAGCACCAACAGCAAAAACGGTAGCTGTAACAGTAAAAAAGCAAACAAAATAAAAAAGAATATTCCAGACTTCTTCCTGCTGCAGTTTGTGCAGGCACTTAGCTACCCGCAAAATGCTAATTAGCCAAATCACATACCAGAAAAAGCATAAAGAATAGGTGAAACGAAACATTAAAAGCAGAGTGGCAGTGTGCCATTGTACAGAAAAAAACAAAAAACGTTTCCTTTGTAGCGGTCATGGCCAGACCACCACATGACTCCTTGCCTAGCGCGGTTTTGCACTCATCTTGCACTTTATCTTACTCCCTAACTCCTTAGCTAAGCAAACACACATGAGCTGACTCAGCTCACTAACCGTACTCCTATTTCACACTATGCATGCATACACATACACACACACACGTACACTCTTACACTGACCAGCAGCAGCAACGGAGCATATGCTTGCACCTTCCGCCAGCAAGCAGGAATTGCCGATGCTACACATCTTCCTCTTCGTCGTCTTGCTCTGATCAAGCAAGACTCGAAGACATCGTAAAGATCTAGAGATAGCCTTCGTGCTCGAACGTTTGCTCAACGTTTGCTGAACGTACTTTCCATCGAGCACTCACGCATCGAGATATAAACTCGTGCCTTTCAGCAACTCTGCAGCTTCGCAGTCTCGACTCCTCAACAACAGCCTCAACAGCAGATCTCCTACGCAACCAACTCGGTCTCCGCGACCTCGTCGCCGCTCCTGCGCCTGCTGCTCTCTCCTTCACTCTTTGCTCTTTCCCTTTCCTTCCTTCTGATTCAATAAAGACCGTCAGGTCACAAAAGCCCAAACCTTTGCCTTATCCCGGTTAGTGATCAGTCGACTCGGCTGAGCCACTACACCTTAAATACTGCTCTTTGCCAGATTGTTTCATTTTCATTTTGTTTTTTCTCTTACTTTATACTGTCTGTTGTTTCAATCTACCTCAGCGTCTTGGCCTACACTGCACTAAACGGCTGCACTACTCAGCAATGGCCAGCGGCCAGACAAATTTAGCTTAGAGAATTGAGATAAGAAAAGAAATGCGTCTGTGTGTGTTAGAGAAGAAGGAAAAGACAGCCAGACAGAACCTACTGACACAGTGTGCGTGTTCTGTGTTGTAGTACTGCACTGGCACTGACACTGCCAACAAAAGCGATTGCCACTGCCACTGACTTACAGAATCTGCCAGTGAGTGTAAGTGTGTGTGTGTACATTATGCGGTACTGTACAACAGACACACACAAGCTGACAGTGAGGCAGCAAGAGCAGTCGACGTCTGCAGCCCTGGTCGCCCTCGTGCTTCGCTTTACAATAAAAGTTCCTTCTCAGTGGAAGCCTTCCGCCAGTAATGCAGCAACCGCAATCGTCAGTGCGTTCGGGTTTGGGTGCAGAACAACAGAAAAGCAGAAACGGAGGCGGCAGCAACAGAAACAGGCGTTTGCATTCTTCTTTACCACTTCTTCGTCTTTTTGTTTTGTCTGCGTGCACTTGCATCTTTTTATATGACTAGCGGTATTTACTTTTAGCTTACCAGGTCGACCGACAGCTTTTCCTCTCTATCTCCCTTTCTATTTTCTTCTCGTTCAAGTTCACCTCTTCTCAAGCTCCTTCTCCTTTTTCTCCTTTTTGACTGACTGAACAGAAGTGCAGAGCAGAAGAGAACAGCCGAAGAGCAAAATAACAACAACAGAATAAATCAAAACAGGCAGATTCAATCAACCTGCGTGGGTGGCTCATTGTCAAACAGGCAACAACCGAGGCAACATCACTTTCCCAAGCCGTCGTTGTTGTTTTTTCCTTTCTATCAGTTTCAACTCCATCAGTCTTAGTCATCATCCTTGCATTTTCCGAGTCCCTGCATGTCCCCGCGGACCTTTGCCAGGCAGTTCGCAGTAGCAGGAGCAAAAGTTGGCGCCACGGCCTCTGCATCAGCAGCAGCAGCAGCAGCAACATCTTCAGGACCATTTGCTGTCGGCCCTCCACTTCGGCACACGCAGCTTCGTCGATCGCCGAACAGTAGACGGAAGCGCCCGGCGACGGCCTCTGACACGCTCACCACCACTGCACCGGCTGTTCACGAGCTCAAGCACAGCTGATGCTTTGAAGATTTGAAGTAACCGAATCCTTACTAGCCCCCACTTGACTTGCACTTGTTCTCAGAGATCTTCTCAAGCAGAACAAACAGCACTTGAAACACCAGCTCCCTTTTGGTTTTTGCCGTTCCCAGTCAGCAGCCTCTTCTTCTTCATCATCATTTTCACCACGGCTCCGTCACTGCGCCGTCGAATCGTCTCGAAGGCCGCTCGCTGTAGTGCGCACTGGTAAGTGAAAAGTGCTCTCCTTTTAAGAGGGTTCTTACTTCTTCAAGTACCACTTTACTAAGTAAAAATTAGGATGTTGTTGTTGTTGAGTTTTAATTAGTACACTACTTGTAAAGTTTGTTTTTCAAGTTTCACTAGCTGAAAACTTTTGATAGGTGACAGTTTTTTATACTTTAGACGATAACAAATAGTTTGTTTATTTATGATTGCTAAACTTTTACTGCAACTTTTTGCCCAAGACTTTGCTTTTTCTTTAGTTATTTGATAAAGTATCACCAATAAAATGGATTTAAAAGGGAAAAAAGCAAAATCAAACACATTTTATCTTTATTCTTTGCTTGCTCAAAAATTTGTTTTGTCAAATTGTGCGTGTGTGTTTGATTAGGAAAAGAGAAAAAAAACTGTCACACATACATTGACAGTAAAAAACATGCTAGCAGTAAAAAGTATCAAAAGATGAAAGCTGAAAACGCTTGACGACAGTAGCTGTAAACATAAAAACGAACCACTCTGCAGGCTCTAGTGATTGAACAAACAGACAGACTGAAAATGTTAAAAGCAAAAAAAGTAAACACAGTCTAGAAAAGATACAAAGATTCAATTGGGCAATGGAATTGGCAATCCTATCCGTCTGGAGTGTCTGTCGAGAGCAGCAGTGGTCCAGTGTTGAATCAGCATCCCGTTCCAGTGATCAAACACGATTACCTTACATTCTGCACTGTTTGCGTGCACACTAAGTTGATGTGTGCAGTTGACAGCAACAACGGCAACAATAACAAAACAATTTTTTTATCTATTTTCAAAAATCTTTCTCTTTAACCCTCTAGAGAAATCTAGTTAGCGAAAAATTTCCTTTGCTATGTTTATTCTGCGTTGTCATGTTTTGTGTTTGTCAAACGAACTTGCGTGTGTCTGCTATAGTACTAATGTACTGTTTTAAATCATAAGTTCAGCTTTGCTGAAGCTTTTTTTGAAAACTGCGATAATTTAAATATGATTACATTGGCAAATGCAAACCAAGTAGTGGTAGTAATAGTTTGGAGGATGTTGATGGCTGCCCGCTGTCTCCCGCTGTTTTCGTTGCTGAGGTGTTGACAATCATTAGCATTAATTAAACATGTTTTAATTTGCCTGTCGCAAAAGTGGGTAAACTTGCACAGCAGTGCCACACCACCAGTGTCAGTCGCTTGATCAGTATCAGTTGCCTGCTAATTGTTTCGGGGGTTATCAGCGGCTAAAGAAGAAGAAGCAGCATTAATAGCAAAAAACAGACAAACATAGTTCAAGTCTGTGCCTGTGCTTGTGCCTGTGTTTTATCCACCCTCTCTCCCTTTTCCTATTTGTTCTTATCACCACCCAAAATCAGCACTCATTTCAGCGTGCACTTTATCAGCCACCGATTGTAGCAACAGTTGCCCTGATTGCCGGTTCCCTGTCCCCTCACTGCCCCTCTCACTTCTGCCACCCTTCTGCTTAGCGGGTGTCCTTTGGTGGTGTCCTTTGCTAAACCACTGCAGGAACCACCATTAGTTTTCCGAGAGGAAAAAAGAGGAGGAGGAACTGTTGTTGATAAGTGGACACTTGAGCAGTTCAGTTTAACTGAGGCAGGTGTATAAAAGCAGGCCGCCAGTGGGCCGTTAAGTTTGTCTTTTCCGTCATCTTGAGCGGCGAAGACAGCAGCTTGTCTGTGCCATACTGAACTCGCAATCGGCCACCTGAGCCAGCCATCTTTGTGAAGCGACCGCCTCACCACCACTTCTTCTTCCGCCTTCTTCACCTACCCCGCCAATTCTGCACTTTTTTTCCAAAAATTCAACCTACTCCAACCTTTTGAGCTTAGCTTTTAACTTCTGAACACTTGCCACCCCAAACCCTGTTGCCAAATATTTTCAATTATTGTTGCCTGAGTTTTTTCATCAGTTCTCTTTTTATTTTGCCCAATAACGCAAAGTTTTTGTGTGATTTGCAAAATATTTAGGTTTGTAAGCAATTTTGTTTTTAAATTCACTTTAAATGATTATGTTTGCATGAATTTTTAACAATTATTATTATACTATTCATGCTGAATACCACAGTTTTCAACAATTTGATTTTCATGTTTGCGCTTTTGTTCAGAATTTAATAAGCAGATAAAATGTTAGATTTAATTTTGCGCTTGACTTCATTATTTTTACTTTTTTAATAAAAAAATTTACATCTAAAGTTGTAATAAAGTTATTTGATTTTAGATAATATTCTGCATATCAATCAAAGCGTTTTAGAAAAGCCATTAAAAAATCAAACCAAAAAAACACTTTAAGAACAAACGCTATGATCCATCCATCACTTAGTCAATGGTTTTAGTTTGTTTTTTATACACTAATAAACAGTGAAAATGCATTTGTTTTTACCAACTTTTTTTACTTTTAGAGTGAAAACACAAAATATGAGAAAAATCAAATGTCAATTCGCTGTCGACAATCAGACCTGTGGCGACCTCTATCAGACAAAAAAGGCAAATTTCAACCGGGAGTCAGAGCAGAATGGAAAACTTAATCATGTTAAAAAATGTTTACTACTGTTTGAAAAGCTGTTAGTGGCAACTAGTAAACTTTATTTGATTCCGGAACAAAAATAAAATGAATAAAAGTTGTAAAAACACAGTCCAAAATACAGGCAGTTCTTCCATTTTATCGCCTATATTTCTCCGAAAAAGCAAGTCAACAAAACTTTGATCAACATACGTTTTCAGTGCAATGTTTGATAACTTGTTTTTTCGGAAAAATGTAGTTAATAAAATAAGATTATACCTTTCGCGATCAACTAAGAGTGTATAGATACAGTTTTTAAGTTTATTTTTGCTCTGAAACTGATTTAAAGTTTTTTTACAGCTTTATAAATTGTTTTGAGTTTTTTAATACAAAAAGAGTTTGCCATTCTGCTCTGACTCCCGGTTGAAATTTGCCTTTTTAGTCTGATAGAGGTCGCCACAGGTCTGATTGTCGACAGCGAGTTGTTTTTCTAAAAGAGTGAAAACAAAACCGCCCAAAATTTTTGGCATATTCAAAAATTATTGAATTGCATATTGCTGGAAAGCTAAAATTGCTCTGATTACAAATATGTAAGTATCAAAGTGGAGCCCCAGATAGTTCCCGAGAAAACTGGGTCCAAAGTTGACCAAAATGTGCAGTTTAACAACAGCAAACGTGTTTACTCCGCTAGATGGCACAAGGAGCAGTAGGTAAAGCATAGCCAAAGGTACAGTTCGGACCCGGTTTTCTCGGGAACTATCTGGGGCTCCACTTTGATACTTACATATTTGTAATCAGGGCAATTTTAGCTTTCCAGAAATATGCAATTCAATAATTTTTGAGTATGCCAAAAATTTTGGGCGATTGACTGTGAGCATTTGTTTTCACTCTTTGAATTGATTAGACTCAATTTAGATGCTTTTTGCAAAGTTTTTTTTCTAAATTTTTTTATTTTTATTCTTATTGTCAATGGCGGTAATGGTGGTCGTCTTGGTTGTCGTCAAGGGGCCAAAAAGTTGTGGGCACCGCAATGTGAGCTTGCCGTTTTTCAGCTAATAGCTTTAGCAAACCAATTTGAATAGTTATTGGTCTACTGTTTTGTACACTGCCCAACTACCACTGGCAACTCTGACAGTGTCCCCATTTGCCCATTCCCTCTGGTTTTCACATCCCCAGTTACTGCTATTTTTCAATTACTGCAATTTTTATCAGCAATTCCATTTGGAACAGTGAACATCTAGCCTCACTTGCATTTCAATATTTCCTTAATACTTTCCTTTTCTCTATCACGTTTTATTGGTCAGTCAGAAAAAACGGTTTGTCGATTTTATTCAGTATGTTTGTGCAGTTTTTGTTTTTATGAAATTGCCCCAATTTGGGTGATGTCTATACGCTGTTTTTGTTTTTGTTTTGTTTCCGCTATGAGATGAATGCCAAATAATTCCTATTTAAGATGTGCTGTTCAAAGATAGCAACTACTGCAGCATTAGTTGTCGTTTCATTTTATAAACAAAAACATTTTTTAAGCTTAGTAATTTTGTTTCGGTATTTATTGTTTAGCATGATTCGACAGTAAAAAACTGAATAAAATCAAAGTTAAATATTGTTGCCAAGTTGCTAACATTTTGTATAATTTTTTTCATCAACAGCCGTACTAAATTTAAACATCGGCCAAAATAATCAAGAAGCAGCAGCAGCACCACTTTGCACAACTTGCCTTCTATCGTCTTGAATTGCCCTTTTCACCTGCTTTTGTAGCACTTACTCACTCACACTAAACCGAATATCCGTGCAATTTGATTCTTTCAGAACTGAAGTTTTTGACCTTCTTCTTCTTCGTCCTCAAAACTCGCCGCTAGCAAACACAAATGAGTGTAACAATGCTTCTGGAAACGGTCTCCAACAAGAGCTGCCATGCTCTGGGCAGTGGCAATGGCAATAGTTTGCTGATGTCAGGAGGTGGTGCTGGTGAGGAGCAGCAGTGTTTGCTCGACCAGGACACCTACCACCGTATGATGTCCCAGTCGCAGCAGTCCCCGGCTGCCTCCATTTTCGACGGCAGCTCCAACAGCTCGGACACGGACAGCTCGGGAGATGACAGCAGCACTGCCTCCTCATCCTCATCCTCCTCCCAGGGAGGAATGCACTTCTTTGAGGGCGCCGAGAAGCGACTCGTGCTCTACCTTACAGGAAGTGAAAAGAAGGACAATGGCAGCAGCAACAGTGGTAATGGCAACACAAACCAAAAACAGCAGCTAAAAACTACGGCGGTGGTTGGAGCGGCGGTGACCGCTTCCGAGATGGCTCTCAGTGCCGGCGAATCAGTGACCCTAAAGCAGCAAACTAAGCACGGACTACCAATGGACAAGGACAAGGACATGGCACTTTACTCTGAATCAGGACCTGATCTGCGAACTATTCCCCGGTAAGTGTCCTTTCCATTCATTCTCTTAATCTGCTAGTCAACATTTTTACTGGGGTTTTACCCTCTTTTTTTGCAAGTATATGTTTCTGTTTTTTCTGAATCAATCAAACTTTGCTAATTGATTATTGCCAATCATCAGTTGGTCTGCTTTTCTTGTTTGCCTGTGTGTCCTCTTTTCAGTGGCGTCAAAGTGCAAAGATAATGTATACAGTTATTATTATTTAGTAGCCAAACCATGCAGTTTTAGAAACAGCCGCAGAAGTGACACTGGCAGAAGTTCCGGCAAGTCATTTTGCACTAAGCAGTTCGTTGATCAATAGCTTTTGTATCTGCTCCCATCTGATCAGTCAAACTGTCATTTTTATTCAGTCATTGCTGCTGTTGTCTTTGCAGTTGACAAAAACTGAGTTTGTAACTTTTTTCCGCTTCTCCAAAAATGACTTGCTGATTTATTGAGTTGTCATTTTGTGATACAATGTACGCACAAACTCACCCCCACACTCATTGGGCTTTATCAAATCACAGCAAAACATGCCGTTCTTTCGTGGGTTTTGCACAACATTGTCTAACATTTCGTAGGCTGACACTTCTCTCGGCCTCTTTTTGACCGTTCTAGCTTAACAGTTTTGCCTCTCTCTTTTTAGTTAGTAGACATCCTCATGAAGTATGTTCAGTTCTTCAGGACTCTATCTAATCGTCTAATGACACTCAATTTTTGCTAGTAGCCATAGCGGTTGTGAAATGATGGTTTCACATTTCCACTGCCTCATTTGCAAGACAAAGTTTGCAAGTTTACACTTGAGCAAGTAGCCTTAGTCTACTTGAAATAGCTGTGAAAACCTTCTTATCGTCGCTCATTCAGTCTGTTCAATCTGTTCAATCAATTGATTGAGTTACGTTATTGCCACCAGCAGCACCAGTGATCGCAGTGATTGACCAGTGCTAACCAGGAGAAGTTACCATTACTTGCTGTTTCGAGCATCAGTGAAGGCAAATAAATGCACTCCACTGGAGCAAGGTTTTCTTGCTGCACCAGCTCTGTCTATGATTAGATTAGCCAACCGCAAAACCACATTTAGCACTCACACTAGCAATACTACTGCTGGGTGAAAAAGTTGTTGCACTTAGTACCTAGCCAATCAGGCGGACAAAAAAAATCGGCCAATCAACAGTCGCCCTCTTCAATCGATCGAACACTTCAGTTGCTATTTTTCCTTCCTTCAGTTATCACTTAAGCTTATTTGGTGGCAAAACGGCCTTCAGCAGCTGTTTCTTATTTCAGCCCAAACACACACACACACATTTGTACTTGTTTTTTACTTCTCTAATTGCAAAGCAAGCGCCGCCGATTATTGCAGGCGGTCTTTGCTGTTAATCACCAATTGCCCTGTTTTGCACTGCACCCAAGTACTCCTTTGGGTTGTCACCGACAACCAGACTGTCACTCAATTAAGCTGTGCACCAAAGCACTTTCACTGCCGCCGTCACTAGCTAAATCTAATAGAGCTTCCTTTTTTACTGGCGCCATTCAGCAGTTTGCCGGCTACACAAACAAATACACAGGTACACTTTAGGCCTGAATGGCGACTGATCAGTTGGTCAGATCACGTTTGCCAATAAAACAGTAGTGCGATGGCAGCTGAAAACTGCCCAAATGTTCATAAAGTTTAGGAAATTTAGTAATTCAATGAGAGGAAAAAAAACAATAAAATGAGACAAACATTTTGGCTGCACCAGATTGTAGTAAAACTGGTACTGTTTGTTTCCCTGACTGCAGTGTAGTAAACTGTGTGCATTCTCTCTGTGACAATGAGAATCAGCAAAATGTCCGTGGCCTTGTTTTGGCCGTGGCCAACGCCGTTATTATCACCGACGGCCTTCAATGGTCTGGGCGCTATATATTTGACGATGATTTCCAGAACTGACAGTCACACAAACCCACAAACTCACTGCCTCACTTAATTGTCTTTCGAAGTGTGTATGTGGGTTTTTGTGTTTATGTGATTCAACAAAAGGATCCTTTTTTATATCCGTTTAACGTTCACTTGAAATGATCGGTGATTGTCAATTGCCAAGCCTTTGTTGACAGATCAGCCGTTTCACAATGACAAAAAAGATTGTGCATTTTTTCAAATATTAAAATTATTATCATATTAAATAAAGTCAGTTAAAACTATTAAAAAGAAAACAAATTATAATTATACAAAGTTAAAAATACGTTAAAAATTTTTAAACAGTTTGAAAATTGATAAAAATAAAAAATAAATGTTTTACTTTGATAACTCAACACACACACAAAATTGCCAACAACACAGCACTAACATTTGCATTTTTATTTAATTTAAGTTTTTTATATTCTATTTATTGATACTGCAAAATCAGAAAGCAAACAAAGTCATTGTCAAATTGTAGTTGTTGTAAAATGAATTGTGCCAAATAACTGTACAATACCCGTACTTTCATGTTGTACAGAAAATGAGCTAAAAATAATAAACATTTTGACACTGGTACTTTTAAAAAATGTGATGTTCTATTTTTCACGTTTGTCAAATTGTAACACTACTTTGTGACGCAACTAACAAAATAAAGTATATCAACTCTAAAAAATTAAAATACTAATGTAGAAACTTATTATTTAGAATATTATTAGTCCAGCACCATTGAATATTTTTAAAATATTTTTTTTCACGG